AGCTGGCAGAATTCAGTATACAGAGGGCTGACCTATCGACTATGGCATGCCCTACATATGATTTGGGAAGACCTTAGAACAACTGACACAATGTTATTTTTTACTTAAAACTTAAGAAGTTACCTTCATATCTTTTTGAAAACTGATAGTTTAAAAACAGGAAAATGTGCTACTGTTACTGTACAGTTCTGTGGATTCTTGTTTATTTCACAAATCAACAGAAATATGGATTTTGACAAGAGGAACACTATCTCAATCAAGAAAAGTTAACATAAATTTCCTCATTTTTTTGAGATTTAATTCTTCACGATCCACATCCAGCCCTGCTAACCACTAATAAATTTCTTATTCCTAGAGTTTTCCAGTATCTAGAATATCAAATAAATGGAATTACACAGCATATAGCCTTTGAGGCTAACATAAGTGATGTATATATTTTCTGGATATAATTTCCATTAAATACATTTAACAAATATATTTTACCTATCTGTATCTTATCATTTTCTTTTTTTCTCTTAAAATACCTCTTTGAAAATTTTTGTTACATTTTAATTCATTGTGTGTGTGTGTGTGTGTGTGTTTGTGTGCATGCACACAAGGGCCACAGTCTCAGGTGATGGTTATAGGACAATTTGTAGATATTGGTTCTCTCCTTTCAACACACAGGCTCAAGGGATCAAATTCAGGCTTGGTGGCAGGCAACTTGATCCACTGAGCCATTTTACTAGTATCTGTCTTACATTTTTTAAGCACATTTTTAATTGTGAGAAAGTATAGTTATAACTTTTTAAAATCGTGAACTGAACACTAATAGTATCACATCTAAAATAGTTTGTCTAATCCAAAGCTACAAAGATTGTCTCCTTCATTTTCTTTTAGGAATTTTATATATTTTAGTTTGAAGTTTAGCACCATAAGTTTATATTTAGAACTAGGGAGTTACATTTGTGTATGGCATAGGTATGCAGTGGGTTGTTTTGTTTGTTTTCATTTTACATAGAAGGGTAGAATTTTCTCATCTTAAGAGACTATACTTTCTGCTTAAGAAAGAGCTTTTTTGTTTTCTTGAACTTTTGTTTGTTTGACTATCGAGGCAGGGTCTCACATAGCCCAGGATGACTTCAGTCTTACTATATAGCCAAGGATGATCTTGAAATCCAGAAACTCCTGGCTCCACCTTCTAAACATGGGACCTGTAGGCTTGTACAACCAACCCACTTAAGAGATAACTTTCTAATTCATTAGTAATATGAGCAGAAGCCTAAAAAGAAAACGAGGATCAATTAACTGGAACTTTTTCAGTCAGAGAAGCAATTATTTAGTTCACTAAAAGGAAAATGATTAGAGACTATCTTCCAGTTTCCTCCATTAGACTCCCCTTAGATGTGTGCTGAGGTTCAGAAGCTCTCCTTCATGTCTAGCCTACAACCCTGAATCCCTTATAGTTCAGCTTTGATCTATTCTACTTACTAGAGTTTTCTGTAAGATTTCTCGGGGGGAAATGTTAAACATTTTTTTAATTGAAAATAACTAGATTCTGTAGACTCAGTAGGTGATATTTAAAGTTATCCTCTGGTGTTGAATTCCTAGGATCCATTTTCAGAAACCAGAAATAGCCCACTAAAATGGATCTGAACTAAGTTAGTTCATGCCCTGAGTTCTTAGTCATCATCTGTATTATTTTAAAAATTATATTGCATATGAATACCTATGCACTTATATGGCTACCCATAAAAATCATGATAAGGGCCAACTTCGTTAATTTCAATTAAGAATCTAGCTTTCATCTAATTTAAGGTCTAAATATAACTATGATATCTAGTATGGGGTAGTTAATAAAGATAGCATACAAGGGATGAGAATGTAGCACTAAGAATACTCCAAGGGCTGGAGAGATGACGCAGCAGTTAAGAGTATTTGTTGCCTGTCCAGAGTTCTATCTGGCCTCTGTGGGCACCCTCCCCACATGGTAAAAGCATGTACACACACACACACACACACACACACACACACACACACACACACACACACACACACACACACACCCCAATCTAATAAATTGTTTTTTGGTTTTTCAATACAGGGTTTCTCTGTTGTCCTGTCCTAAAACTCACTTTGTACACTAGGCTGACTTTTAATGTGGCGATCCATCTACTTCTGCCTCCTGAGTGATGGGATTAAAGATATGGAGGCACCCAGCATAATAAATTGTTTTATATTACTTTATATTAGCTATATTCTTTATATTACTTATAACAGCAACATTAAAGTGATAGTTCCACATTCTTAGAAATATTCAAGGGATTTACTTTACATTCTGAGATGCTTTCATCATTAGTGTTGTATAACAATCTTCTTTTGCTCAAAATGCAAACTTAATAATGGATTCTAAATACCCTCTCTGTGTTTGTAAATGTTCTTCTTAGTCCATCATCCCATTATGCTATGTATTTAGCCCTTCTTCAAAAGCTATGTGGGAACAAAATACGAAAATCTAGAAGTATTTTGTTACCTATTAGATTACTAAGTGCTATAATTTAAATAGCTAAAGTCTAATTTTGGGGTTCGGTCACCCATATTGAATATTACTTCAACTGTGACTATGTGCAAGAACTCAGCTGACACCTGCTAGAACACTGTCCTAGCATTTGACTGACATACTTCAAGAAAAGTAACAGTGCTGGGGAGAAATGTATATAGAGCAAAATCAATCAGCAGCATACAACTGATTTTGTGGCATGTTACTCAAAAGCATCACACTAAATATCTCAATGGTTTGTTTAGAGCAATGGCTCTCAATTTTCCTACTGCTGTGACCCTTTAATACAGTTCCTCATGTTGTGATAACCCCCAACCATAAAATTACTTTCATTGCTATTTCATACCTGTACTTTTGCTACTGTTATGAATCATAATGGAAATATCTGATATGCAGGATATCTGATATGCGACACCTGTGAAAAAGGCTTATTCAACCCTCCCAAAGGGTCTCTACCCACAGGTTGAGAACTGCTGGTTTAGAGTAATAAGTAAATTGGTTGATTCTTTAAAATAGAAAGAACTAGGAAATACTATTAATAAACTATAAAATTTAAATAAACAATAATACTGTAACAATAAGCTATTCTCTGTGTTTTAATGAGAGGGAAATTAAAACACTAGTGCTGTCATTAACTAATGATTACAATACATGTTACAAGAAAGACATGTCCCTCTTACACACAACTGCCTTGTTTCTTTTGTTCTTAACTAAAGACGTGTATTTGATTATATTTCTAAAATGAATACATGGCGAGTGAATAAAGACTGGGGTTAGTACAAAGCATCTGGATAGGGGAACAGGAATTCTGTATGCAACAACAACAACAAAAAAAAGAATACAGACTATTCTATAAACAAATGGCACAAAACAAACCTAGACAGAAAGAAGGAACTAAATCACGCAAGGCCTTGAAGGCCATCAGGACTTTAAAGTTAACTGTCAGGGCAATAGAAGCTGCCAAAGGATTATGCACAAGAGGTGGCAAAACCAACATATCACACACACACACACACACACACACACACACACACACACACACACACACACACACACAAAATCATTGGGTGTAGTAGCGCATGCCTTTAGTTCCAGCACTCAGCAGGCAGAGGAAGATGGATCTCTGCGAGGCCAGCATCGTCTACAAATAAAGTTCCAGGACAGCCAAGGCTGTTACACAGAAAAACCCTGTCTCAAAAACACAAAACAAAAATCTATCCTGACTATCCTGGGAAAAATGAATCAGAAGGAGATTAAAATACAAGGGGGGAGGGATGGGATGACATCAACATGTCTACCAAGATGATGGCAGTGTCAACAGACAGACAATTTGACTAAAAACCAGTTAGCCTGAGGTCTAAGACAGGAATTTTCCAAACTAACTTTTTATTTATCGATCTATTATCTTTAGGAGTATAAATAGGAATTTCAGGATGGCTTGTTTGGATTGTGCTTATAGGTTCAAAGTCAGTGATAAAAGATTACATCATGACACTCTTTCCTTCAAAGCTCTTCAAGAGCATCTTGGATCTAGCCTGTGCTCACAGACCTGTAAAGAGACCCAACTTCACTTGAAAGCCATTCATTCTGTTTCTCCATCTCCTTCATCTGATTCCTCAGCTCCCACCCTCCGAGGGTGGGGGGCACAGGGGTCAAAGTCCAGTGAAAATCAGGGTTAAACCCCCAACCCACCCACCCCCTAGGGAGCTATGCCACATGCTCAGGACTGCAAAAAAAAAAAAAACAAAGATTACATCATCAGATCATCAGAAAGGGAGTGGTGGTGCTGGGGTAGAGCTCAGTGTTGAGAGCATGCATAGGAGTGGGTAATTAAAAGACACTTGGATTTAATCATAAACCACATAATAAATGAAATGCATACTTATTCTACTATTATATGTTTGTGCCAGTAGTCTTGAGAACCTTACAAAAATTGTGCTATTGTATCATCTAAGCCTTTATATCAAGCTGCATCTGAACACTGAAGATATTTTTAAATGATAGCTGCCAAATTTTATTGACTGATGATGGAAACATTATTCATTGTTGTTAGCTGTAATTTAACTCATTCATATGCAGAAATGCTGTTTATAGGCACACAGACAGACAGTGACATTAACACTGCATGGTTCTACAAAAACCCAATATATTTAATTTAGAAAGCACTTGTATCATATAACTCAAGTAGAAATGTAACTTAGCAAATTTAAAAACAATGTACTTATTTCAAAATAAGACTTTCAATTACTACTCATAAGGATTTCAAAAATAGAAACCTTTAATTTCTTACTATTTGTATATGATAGTTTACATATAATAGTCAATTTTTTACGTTATTGTGAAAATCTTAAGGTTTGTGTAGAACTTTCCTAGAAGAACTCAGAACACTATACTGAATAATCTATTGTACAAAACAACCCCAATAGCAGATTCATAGCAGCATGTTGTACGAAATCCTTACCAATTTTTCATCAACTGTTATAAGCTGTGTGTCTTGAGTTTGGTTCTGTGCCAGCTTCCATGTGGATGTGCTCAACAACCTGCAGTGCAAGACTTAGAGTTAAAGAATGATCTCTGCCATCAAGAGAGAAGCAGACAGACTTACATAAACATGCTGCTTTAACAGTATCTGTCTTCTTAAAAATAAAATGAAAGGAAAGAAAGAGAAGACGGCACAAAAGCCCTTTTACTCCCCAATTAGTTCTGTCTGCTGAGTTTTTGGCAAACTCTCACTTTGACAGTTCACAACAGGCGGCACTTTATGTCAGTCTACAGACACTCTCACAAAAAGACCACCAATGACAAGTACTGGACTGCTCTCTATGAGGGTACAGTGGTTGGTTTGTCAAGACGAGGCGAAAACATGCAAAACAGTATCAACTGTTCTGGAATGCCAATTCCTAAATGATGGCATCAAGGAAAGGGGGGGGGGGCTCAGTTATAAGAACAAGCTTCTTCATTTCACTCTAAATCTAGAAGCAATTTAGATAGAAATTATTTGTATGATTACTTATGTGTTATTAGTCCAGTCTACTGTCTGGTTCACAAAACTGAAAAAAGGCCTGAATATTAAAACAGAAATATTAAGTTGGAATTAGGCACAAAAATCAATCCCTTTCATGACTTCTTTTGCCTCTGACATAGGTCTCACATACTCTAGCTAGCCTTGGACTCCCTATGCAGATAAGGATGTCCTTCAGCTTCGAGTATTCTTGCCTATACCACCATGTCAGTTTATGTGGTGGTGGGGACTGAAGCAGAGTTTCTGCCTACTCGGCAGGCATTCTACAGACAACTGGGCTACACACTCCAGGCCCACAATTTAAATTTTTTTTAATAAGAAAAACTTTTAAGACTTGCTATATTGCAATGAGATCAAAGGATTCTAACTTTTTCCAGGTTTGGGTGTTTTAAATTTCCAAATAGGCAAGACCAATACACTGAACAGGGATAATTCCCAAGCTTTCTAAGATTTAGAAGCAAAAAATAAAAGCAGGGAAAGAACATCAGCATTTATCTATTTATACATGACCAGTAAGTAAATGAAAAATGTTCAAGGTTACTAAGAATTAAATACAACAAACTACTTCTTCATATTCACTAGGATAATAATGTATAAACAGACCATACTCATTGACAGGCACATAGGGAAACTGTAATCTCTGTGGAATATAAGATGGTACACAACTGTGCAAAATAATGTGGTGGTATCTTTAAAAAAATTAAACACGGAATTATCATTTGATATAGCCATCCATTACTAAGAATATGCCCAAAAGAATGGCAGTGTTGTCTTGAAATCTTTATACAGCAGTGATCCTAACAGTGGTTAAAAGCTAAAAGACACCATTGAGGATCACATAACCATTTACTTTTTTGTTACTGAACTGATCACATTCCCAGATATCTAAAGTATTAATCTTAATTGTTGACCAAAGGATAAATCTCTGCCAGCTATGTCTGTAATTATCAGCTATCATTATTAAAGTATACAACTCATTCACGCACGTGTGTGTGTGTGTGTGTGTGTGTGTGTGTGTGTGTGTGTGTGTGTGTGTGTGTAAATTAGGAGAGAGAGAGAGACAGAGACAGAGACAGAGAGAGAGAGACAGAGAGAGAGACAGAGAGAGAGAGAGATACTGGATATTGAGAGGACTTATTTCTAACCCTGGCTTTACATTTTACTTGCTCCCTGTGAGGAAAGCATTTAATCCCTGTTTCCAGATGTTATTCTTTCTGTTTTTAAGCTGAGGAGTTGACAGCTCTAACACCTCTAATAATGAGTCTATGATTCTAATAAGTGCAAATGTGTATGCTTCTAATTTGTTTGAAGAATTCTCTGTGTAATAATAAGTCTCTATATAATAACTCATGAGATGATATTTTCTTTAAAAATCTGCAGTTACAACTTTAAATTTCCTAATTCATATCTTCATGGATGAACACTTGGGTTATTTTGCAAAAACAAAACAAAAAAACAAAAGACATCAATGTAAATGCTTTTGTGAGGACATAGAATTTTAGTTCATTTGGGAAAATACCTATTAAAGAGTTGCTGATCTTTTCCACACTGCTTTCTAACAGGGTTGGATGACCACACATTCCCACTATTTTTCTATTCTTGCTAGTATTTGACTATGATCATTACTCTAGCTATTAGCCATTCCAATAGGTAAACAGTGCTGTCTCACTGTTCTTAGCAACTTGCCCCACATTCTAGATGAGCTATTTTTAATTTTTTATTTATTATTACTGTATATGTGTAGGACAGTACATGAGCCACGGCACACATGCAAAAGTCAGAAGTCAGAGAACAACTGTATGGACTTGACTATCTCCTACTGAGATAGCTCCTTTACTGAGATCACTGGTCTTTATGGAACAAGTGTCTTTTCTACCATCACCACCCCTTTTTTCAGGCAGGGTTTTGCTACATGGCCCAGGATGGCCTCAAAATTGCCATTGCCATGCTCCTGTCTCAGCCTTCCTAGAGGTCTGAGACAGGAGCCTATGCCACCATGCCTTATTGTCTTCCACATTATTTGTGAACTGCAGACAGTTATCTTTCAAGGATGAGTGAATGCATTGGAAATATTTCTTTCATGCTGTAGTTTGCTTTTCATTCTCTTTAGAGTACACTTCACAGGACAGAAACCTATTTTACTTTTTTGAGACAAGGTCTCACTCTGTAGCTCTTGCTTAAACTCACAGAGTTCAAGACAGGCCTTGAATTCATAGAAATCCACCTATCTCTGACTCTGGAATGCTAGGAATTAATAGTGTGCAAAACCAATGTACTTGACTTCCTTCATCAGTGGTTTATAGTCCTCTTCATTTAGATTTTCTAAATTCTGGGATGCTTAATTGTTTTGGCATAGCAACTTGCCAAAGCAGAATCAAGTCCTGATCTCAATCAAGCTTTCAAGTAGTTGAGAATACAGGCACATGCCACAACAACCAGCTTATAACTTCTTATTTTAATGTGTCAAAGCATATACAACAGAGCAGACAAACTTCCCTGCCAAAATCTACTCAAATTGCAGAAAGAAAGAAAGAAAGAAAGAAAGAAAGAAAGAAAGAAAGAAGGAAGGAAAGAAAGGAAAAGAAAAAAAAGGCTACTAGAACTAAACAACTGAATACTGAAATGGTCTACACACTGTGTGTTTGTGTGTCTCCTTTGGTATCAGCAATATTTTTTAAAATTTCTACAAATAATTGAATACAGCTTTATAAACATTAAAACTAAGCTAGTAATTTCAAAACCAGAACTTATTTGTTTGTTGGTCTTGTGTATGTAATAAAATTGTTAATCTTATAAGAACCTACAAAGAATTAATCCTCAGCCTTTTGATTAGAACCCATTGTGCTTGTTTTCAACTGAAATTTTTTCAAATGTTTTAAATGACTGAAACAATTTTGCTCAAATCGTACCAAAAACAATCTGAATAAGAGTAAACTTCTTGACCCAAAGTACAAATAATACCCCTACTTTGAAGCAAATTAATCATATCAACTAAAAATAATTTGGTCAGTGGCCCCCTATCTGCTGTGACAATTAAAAAATGTGGCTCCAAATTTCTTTGACACTCCACTTTGCCACTAGCAGCTGGAGGCCATGTCCCTCCTCAGTGAGCTCAGTGCTACTTGTTCAGAAAAATGAAGCTATGTATATTTGCAGGGCAGGGTTTGAAAGATAAGCAGTTTTTACATCCTATCTATTGGGACACTGATTCTTGGGGTATGTCACTCTTGGAACCCAGAGATCATGGTGTGAAGATCAGACTGCCCCCAGAGAGGTCCATGTATAGAAGAGGAACTGATATTCAGTATTGCTTTGCCATCCATGAACATAATTTCTGTTGAACACTTGTGTTAAACTGTCTATCACAGCATACACAATACAGAGCAGACACACTTCCCACCCAAAATCTGTCCAAATTTCAGATATGTGTACAAAACATACGAGAATGTGGTGTGTGTTTTTGTATGCATGCACACATGCATGTATCTCCTTTGGTGAGGAGTCAGCAATACTTTTTAAATTTTTTCTGCAAATAACCAAATATCACTTTATAAACTTTAAAGCCAGGCTAGTAATTTCAAGGCCAGAAATGACCCATTGTGTATGGAATAAAATCCCTAATCTTACACAATCTCTAAGGAATTAATTCTTAGCCTTTTTATTAGAACACATTGTGTTTGTTTCTAACTTCTTACAAATCAAATTAACCCAAATTCATATTAGATCAGGAAGTGTTTAGTTCCATGTTAAACCATAGAAAAATATTACTGAGATACTAATATAAGTGATAAAGTAATAATATATGTTCTACACATCATGGTAATTATTTTGAACCTGAAATGAGTTAATCACCCTCAATTAATGATCTTAAATTTCCTCAAAAATCTGAATCAATGTAGAAATTTTAAGTAGTCTTCGGCATACTGTATTCTCTAGAAAGCAGTAACCAATTATTCATGAGAAAATTAAGGATTAATGAGGACAGCAAAATGGCTCAATAGATAAAAATGCTCAATACTCACATAGTAGGAGAAAATCACAAGTTGTCTCTTGACTTTCATTTATCCACCTTAGCTTGTACATTGTGTGAGTGTGTGTGTGTGTGTGTGTGTGTGTGTGTGAAATTATCAAGAGACCATTTGAATATTCAATGAAAATATACAGAATAGAATAAAAGGAAAAATAAAGATCCTACAAGTGCTTTAAGTTCAAAGGGAATACCAGTAAAAATATTTCACTTGTAATCTCTTCGTCAAAACTAATTTACCATATAATTCAGATGTACTACAATAATTTCTATAGTTGAATAGCTAATACTAACTTAAAACTGTCAGCTAGTCAAATCAATAAAATGTAAATATCTTCTGCTCATAGGTGTCCTTTCTCATATTCCTCTGAGCAGGGAAAACTTGTGATAGGAACTAACATTATATAATACAATATAAAGAATATCACAAGATCTAAATTCAACAATCTAAGCATCTATCATAGGAAACTAGAGGGAAAAAAAGAACCATA